AGTTATGTCTGGGATGAATTTGGCCTCAGGGAGTTTAAGACTGTCTTTTGGTGCCACTGCCTTGTTCTGAGTTTCTTCTCAGAGCGGATGCCGCCTTTTTCTCAAATGATAGGCCCTCTCCAAAATGCCACCTTGCTCCTATCCCTGCCCCATAAGAGGGTGTAAGAGGAAAATGGTACTGGATCTGCAAAATGAGAAGAGTGAGAGTTTTTTTTATAGCTGAAGCTCTCACCAAGTAAGATGTGGGTCTCAAAGCATGAAGGAAAAGAAGCAGAGGCAATGGATACCTTGCAGAGGGGTCAGATGCCCACATGGCATCCTGGGTGCTGCTTCTGTATGAGTATCTAGGTACTGATCACTTCCTTTGCCTAGTGATGGGGCCAGGAGAAAGGTAAGGGAACAGGGGCAGAAGGGCAAGGGTAGCACAGGGGGTTGTAATTCTTCCCCCCTGTTCAGCACTGGGGAGGCCACATCTGGGGTCCTGTGTCCAGCTTTGGGCTCCCCCACTACAGAAAGGATGTGGAGAAATTGCAGAGAGTGAAGCAGAGGGCAATGAAATGGTTGTGGGGCTGGGGGACAGGACTGGTGAGGAGAGGCTGAGGGAAATGGGCTGATTGAGTCTGCAGAAGAGAAGACCGAGGGGGATTGAACAGCAGCCTTCACCTCCCTGCGGGGGGGCTGCAAAGAGGATGGAGCTGGACTGGTCTAGAGTTGGGAAAACAAGGAGCAATGGGCTCAGGCTGCAGCAAGGGAAGTTGAGGTTGGATATTAGGAAACACTTTCTCATGAGGAGGGCAGTAAAACACTGGAACAGGTTACCCAGAGAAGTGGTGGTGTCTCCATCCTTAGAGGCGTTTAAGACCCAGGTAGACAAACCTTTGTCTGGGATGATGTAGTTGGGGCTGGTCCAACTTTGAGCAGGAGGTTGGACGAGATGTGATGTCCTGCGGTCCCTTCAACCCTCATTTTCTGTGATTCTGTGACTATTTCCCTGTCCTTGCAGTGGCAGGGCTCTGTCTGTGCCCTTGTTGCCCCTTCCTTTACCTGTGGCACGCTGGAGGGTGTTCTTGGTGTTTCTGGCTTGGTGCCTTGCAGTTGTGTGTGATGGTTTGTACTGGGGGGATCTATTTTTTGGGTCCTGTCTGCTTTCAGTTTCCATTGGATGTGACGGTTGGGTCCATCAATGCAGGGCCGTGCTATCTGGGTGAGGGTCTTGTAATGAACCTGAGCTGGTAGCATTTGCTGAGCATCCTTTGTCTCTCTTGTTTTCTCTCTTTCAGAACATGGAAAAGGTGCTGGTCCCTTCTGTCACGTTAATCGTAGGCTGTGGAGTATCGTCGCTGACGCTTTTGCTCTTGATTATCATTTACGTCTCTGTCTGGAGGTACAGCTTGCTTTCTCCTCTCCTCCTGTTGAGCTCAGCACCTGTCTGGAGGCTGGAGGTGTCCTCCTCCTGTTAGGGGGATTTGGATACCTGAGAAAAACCCATGTCTGGATGCGTAGGTGTTGTAGGAAGCAGCGCTGCTGGCTCAATAGGCAACATCTCATTGGTGCTCACTGGGGAAGCAGCGAGTGCCGAATCTTAGATGCTTGAAAGTCACTTGCTATTTTGGGCACCTCTCTTGAGATGCTAAGCTGGGAGACCTGCTTTTCCGTGCTTTGTGGGAACTAAACCTCTTTCAGGTGTGTCATAGATGGATACCCATGAAAACAAGCACCTCGAATCAGTGCATGTTTTTTTTTTGAAAATGTAGGTGTCCAACAGCAATTTTCATCTGCTCGGGGATAGTAAGCCTGGTGATGTAGCTGAGTCCCAATTCAAGGAGAGGCAGCATCCAACAAGTCTCAAATTTATCTCCTGTCGAGTGGAGTCATTGTGCGCTGTTACACGGCTGCTACCAGGTTATTTTTGTGGTGAGCAAGGGGATTCATTAGGATAAGTTTGAGTCATCCCAGTTTGGCATGGGATTCTGTCTCTGATGGGAAGAAAATGGGCCCAGGGAGATAAAGGTGTTAAAACATTGCTATTGCTGTGCTACATTCAATAGTCTTTGGTGCTTTGACTACAGACACTTCAGCCTGTGTTGGTAGTAAACACCCTAAAAAAGGCTTATGGTAACTTTTGGGAATATATTGACTAAGACCCACAGAAGAAAGGAGAATCTGCATGAGATTGGGAGTATTTTGAAATGGAAATGGAGCGGTTCGGTAGAATAGATCTAATCACAATGCATCCGAGTCCCTTTTTCAGGGAGAGTGTCAGTGGGTTCCTTTTCTTCTGCCGAGAAAGCCTTTGTAGCAGGGAGAAAAAGGTTCATCCTGGGGCTCTGTCCTGAGGTGCCAATGAGGGTTTTTTCCTGTCCGACAAAGCAGATGGAAACAAAAGGGTAAAAAGAGACAAGATAAAGAAGAATAGGAAAATCTGTCTTTTTGTTCTTGGAGGTGATTGGTTAGCTATGGCTGGGTGGTCTGGCCTGGCAGACTTGCTCAAGAGCTGTTGTTCTGGCCTCTGGCTCACTCCCCCCTGTCTGGTTCATCATCTGGGTGGTCTGGTCAGGTCTTTCTCCTCTCCTAGAAGGGTAATCTCATTTCATCATGCTGGTGTTGCTTGGAACAGTTAGTCTCAGGGTCAGAAGAAAAGCTGAGGGACAGCGAGTCCTACTTGGGGCCTCACGGTTGTCATGTGCAGAGGTCACTTTGCCTACCTGCTCCTCTTCAGTGGGAGCATCTACACAAGCAGTTAATGCTAGATGGGTTTTCTGCACAGTAAATTACTGCACAGTAAACCCTCCATGGGCAGGCATCTACACGTGCACTACTGCATGGTAACAACAGCACAGTTCATTTGCAGGTAGAAAATCAGCCGTGCCGGAGACAAATTTACAGTGTGGTAAGTGCCTGCACATGTAGACGGTGATACTTTCCCACATAGTAAATTAGTCTACTGCGCAGTAAAGCATCTTGTGTAGACATGTCCAGTATGTATATATGCATTTAATTAACCATGCAGTAGACTAATTTACAGTGCATTAATGCCTGCACATGTAGATGGTGATGCTTTACTGCATAGTGAATTAGTCTACTGCGCAGTAAAGCATCTTGTGTAGATGTGTCCAGTAGAGAGGTGGTGCCGGCTCCTACCCTGAGGGTCTTTAAGAGGAGGCTAGACCAACACCTTGCTGGGGTTGTTTGACCCCAGTACTCTTTCCTGCCATGGCAGGGGGTCAGACTTGATGATCTGCTCAGGTCCCTTCCGACCCGACTGTCACGGGGGCACTCGGGTGCCCCATGCCTAAGTAGGGATTGGGGCCTCTGCTAATTGCCAGGGCAGCTCAGGTGCTGGTTGCTGGAGCAACCATGTTGGTCATGTGACCAGAAGGGGGCAGGCCCGGGCCCTTATAAACAGCCCAGGCCAGAGCCTGGCTGGTAGTTCCCTGCTGGCAGCTGGAGGAGTGAGAGTTCTGCAGGGGAGCCAAGCGGCATCGGGCAGACTGATAGAACGAGTAGCTGCACCAG